ACGCTCACTCCCCTCTCTCTGCCCCTAGCGAAAACATATTTGTGGTGAGCTGTGAAGTAAGTGCCAGGTGGAAACAGAGGTAAAAACATTATAGGGGGAAGATGCCTCTGATGTGGTTTCCCTCCTTGACTATAAGCCTGCAGCTTGTAAATGGGAAACTGATAGCCACCAACTGTCACAGACTCACCTCCTTACCACGCACACCGATGTCCCCAGCTATGTCACGGGAATTGCTCTGGACTGACACGCAAGCAAGCGAAGGCGGTGTTTTAGTTACTACAACTAGTGCCTTTAGCACTCCTGCCTGGCACCATCGGGCTAACCACCGTGTCAGCACTGCTGGAAAGTACCTTGAGGCCTTCTGGTTCCTCTGTGTTGCACTCAGGCTGCTGCTCCTGTCACTTTTTAAGCTCTCTGGTCAGCTCCCAGCTTCTTGTCTCGCTAACACAGTACATCCCAACCTGCCTGAGGCAATATCCCACGATGCAGATGAAGTAATTCTAGCATTTTTGCTGCTTCCACGTAGAAATGATTCCCAGCACCAGAAAAGTAGCATAATAACGAAAAACATACGAGGAAATAAAAAATCAAATATGACAAGTAATCCTCACTAGCAAAAAGGTCAAGCTTTTCTTCCAAAAGGATCTTTTTCCTACAACAAATGAATGCTATGTCTTGTTAAAAATCATGGTAATACAAATTCATTCCAGTATAACAAACCTGTGTCGATTTAACTATCGCAAACTACACTTGCTGATAGAGACAATAAGTAAGACAGAACGAGACAGAGGATACTACTTAGAAGCGAGTGTGGTTTCTACAAAATACTCTGAGGTGTAAATCTTGAGGGCCACGATCTCAGTTTTGCCTATGTCTATACAAAGCAACGGAGGACTCTCCCCTTTGCGCCAGGCAGTGTCCCATAAGCGTTCTTACCTGACTCCTCACGTGCCTATGGGGCTGATGCAAACGACACAGACAAGCCACCCGTTCACAGGAAGTGAGAACACACATTTCTGCACAGCCCAGCGGAAACACAGGGGGTTTTATACGGTAATTTCCATTTAAATAGGGTCTACAATACATTTATTTATTGGTTTGTATATTTGTGTTTTATAAACCAGGATTTCAGAAAAAACGTAAGGAGAAATTAAAAGCATGCTGAAACCTCACACCCACACCGCTTTGTTCAACCTGTGCTTCAGGTCTCAGAGACTTCGTAAGACAACCCCTCAAAAGCAGCCATCAAATTCAAAACCCTACAGACATCTAGCACTGACCCCAGCTGACACACGTTGCAGTGTTACGGCAAACCTGTTGCTCTACAGGCAGGACCCTGCAGTTTTCTGATAGCAAAAGGTGCTTGTTGTTAACCACTGCACTGTCTTTGGTTTGCTGTGTGGCGGCCGAGATGGAAAACCAGCACTTGCTTTCAGCTCTCGCAATGTGCTCTTCCACCCCGCTGAAGTGCAAGGACCTGAACCCACATTTAGGAACTTTCCAGAGGTAACAAATAGGTCCCACTGGGCAGTTTTCTGTATTTATTTTGTCTTTCTTTACAGAGAAAGGCAACGGGCAAGAGAGTTCAAATAGAGCTCAGAGAAGCCAAAAAGGAAACCACAGGTTTTATTTTTCTCTTCAGAGCTTGTGTTTAGTGAGGCCTCATCCCTCAGCATGAGAGCTATTGTGCTGTGCTTTTCTAGGGTTTTTAAATACCTCAGGTCACCCAGAGAGATTCTGTGAACTCAAATAATCCTGATGTTAACAGAAAGATGCAGATAAACACTCTTTAGTTCTTCTCTTCCAACTTTCTCAGACCTCAAGCAAGATACCTGGAGATAAAATGTTCCAGTTTCAGAGGCAAAGGTTGTCTCTGACAACAGGTTTTGGGAAACAAGTCAGATTGTTTATCCTCCAGTGGTAGTTATTCTCTCTTTGGTTCACAGAGCATAAGGGACAAAATTCTTTTCTAATCTCTCTTTCTGTTTACCCCTCTCCCTCCAGCTTCCTAATTCCACCCAAAGAGAAAGGTCACTGAGGCAAGACTGACAACTCAGTGCAGTTCTGCGAGCTCCTCTGCATCTCTCTGCTCAAAAGCAGTTTTTGTTCTTCTTTTACTTCCTCGGTCACAACTCTGCTCTTGAAGGCCCTAAAAGTTAAACAGGAGCATCCTGGAGGCACTTTAGCTTATGTTGCCTGTAAGAGACCCCAAAGGGTTAACCTTTCAGTTTGTGCTTTGTAACTGGGTTAGGCTATGCCGGCAACAGAAAGTTTGAGTGGTGTAAGCCCCGTCTTCCAACCGTGGTGAAACACCCACTGACTTCAACAGCACAGGAATATCATCACTCCTTTCCCCAGTTCTGGGGGACTGCTTCTTTCCTGAGAGATTACTGGCTTGTAATTAGTCCAGGTTATGGCACTGGTGAGATGCAGAAGTGGCTCTACTGGACTGGAGAACCCAAGTCTAATAATTAACCTGAGGAATAACTTCTGATCCTTTAAATGGGGGGTATCTTACAACAAATTTCAGATACACAATCTGCTATTAAAATACCTGTAACAGCTTTATCCCAGAAATGGAGGTTCTTCTTTCCTTCAATGAGGGAATGCATAGAGAACGTATAAGATGTTCCTCCCCCCACCCCCCTTTAAATATTTGGTGTCTTAGATGCAAGGAAATTGAGGCATCTGGCTCTCTGGGCAAACTGTGAGGTGTGTGTCACGCTGGTGATCCCTTCCATCCCTATTCATACGCTCTGCCATGTCACTGTATGCCAGAGGACGGGTGTGGGTGCTGTACCGCACGCTAGGATATCGAATGCAGAGCTGGTAGGCATACCTCCAGCAAACAGTCTGCTGTGGACAGGATGAAAGATGTGATGTGAAGAAAGAAAATCAATCACCCAAACAGTGAAGTAAGGGGTTCATCTTCATTTCAGGACCTTTTGCTAAGGAGGTCTTTGGCAAGGACTGTTTTATTCTCCTTGCCAGAGCGCAGCCAGCTGAGCAAGCAAGGAATGTGTGCAACTTGCAGCAGGTCAGTAACTTCACAGAGCTCAATGAAACCGCTCACACGCTGAAGCCAACGAAGCCAACCCACGCTCAGATAAAACGTGTGCTTACTGAGCTCTGCTGAATCAGCACCCACCTCCTGAATAAAGTCCAAGGATTCCTGCAGCTTCCATTTCCTCTAAAAAGCCACTTCCCCTCCATAAGGAAAGTGTCTTCTCTCGACAAACTGACAGAGTTCTCCTAACCATGAGCAATACCAGATGCACCTGGCATTAGTTACCAAATCTCTGCCACGTTAATCCAGTCTAACAGGACAGACCGGTGCATGTCAGCATGGGCCTTGTCAACCTGTGACCTTCAGCTGACATTACACAGCTACTGTCTTGAAGAACGCGACCTACTCCTTAATTGCATAACACAGCTGCCCAAGGCTGTCAAGGACAGAAATGAGGAAACTTAGCATGAGGTTCAGCACTTTGTCCAGGGTCCACATCACTAGACTCACCTAGCAATGGGAATCTTGAGTTTGGGGAAAAGCCTTTGCTCTGAAATCCAATTACTGACTAACACTGCTTAGCATGCGAATAGCTCATTCCCGGATCCTCTTCTGACGTGTTCCTGTAATTTCCATTAGATTTTAAACCACAAGTTTGCCAGAGCTATTGCCGAGAACGGACTTTCACCATTCCCACCATACAACTGTAGGTAACATATGCAGAAAAAAACACCCAGGGGCAAACTCCCTCTGTTATTGATTTCCATCAACAGCTTTACAATGAGAATGGATTTGGCCTTTTACCCTAAACAGGTATCCACCCTGTTAACAGCTCTGGTTGTTGAAGAAAGCAGATTTGCAAAGAAACTGTTTCTTGTAGCACTGATGCTGGCAAGTGACTCCACATCACCTCCTATGAACTTTCTAAATCAGGATGTTACTCAGTTCCCAGCTCACCACTGAATTCATTCGAAGCTGGATCCTGCCCATAGCCAACACCGATTCTCTAAAGCAGAAGCCATAAAAAGCTAGCAGATCTGTTAGCAACAATATTTCTGAAGCCTGGTTTACAATGGACGGTTTACCTTGCATCTAAGAAGGGACGAAGCCTGACAGACAGCCTTCCCGTGATTAAGTTTTTCACAATGGTACTCTCTCATGTGAAGTCTCTGGTGTCTATTAACACAGCTGGGTTTCACACACAGACACAGAACTAATTCATATGGTGATAAAGACCAAAGAAACATTTTAAGTGTGAGAAACTTTCATTTGCTGTAAATCTCTTTGTTTATAAAAAAAAAAAAAAATACCAGCCAGGGAAATCTCAACTTCCTCACTGCCTAAGAATCCACTGCTGGCTCTCTCCCTCTCTTCTGCCTCATCCCCCTTCTCCTCAACACAAGTTCATGCTTTTCTTTAATTAAGCAAAAAAAATCTTGAATGTTGCCTTTTGCTTGGAATTCCTCTTTCTGTTTCTCCTCACTACTACTAAAAGAAAAAAAACCCACCCTAACACGGAAGGCAAATACCAGTATCTGGTCTTTATGCTTTTGTATCAAGAGCTTTGATAGAATTTGGTTCCAGTGACCGAATATGACCACGATTCAACCCTAAATTGCACATTCACTTTGTTGCCTCCTCGAGGTGTGAAACTTCATACTCAGAACTGCTAATGCAGCAACACGCAGCACTTAATGGAAGTCACATTATTACCACATACACTGGTCTGCTTGCAAAACTTCGTATTTCAAGACCCACCGTTTCAAAATAAGTCTTTACTCTCACACATTCTGGATCTTAAGGCATGCAATCTGAACCTCTGCTGTCTCTACTTTTAGATATTAAGACCACATTTAATTGCACAGAAGCTCTGGCATACTGGGTGAGAAGTTTTCAACAAATAAGCAAAATCAGAGACTGCTTAAGAAGACTTCAGCAATACAGTACACGAGGAGAGATAAAGAAAACAGCCTGAGAAAAGGAACCAATTTACCTGGAGTATTAACAGCATCTGAATAATAGAAGGCGGAACTCTGGCTCTGGAACGTGATAATGCATCTTCCAATTTAATGTTGAGGGTAATTATATTCCTAAAGTGCAGAAGAGCCAGCTGCCGAACCGAGGGCTCCTTCCCCTTCGAAACAAAAACAAAGCAAGAGGGATTGTAAGCAGTGTGAAAATGAGTTTCAAAATCCTCTGCCAAAATTCCTTCCTCCACTTCTGAGGGATTAGAGGAATGGTAAACCTGAATGAAAAGTGATGGAAACATAACCAAGGTCACAGAGCAGCCTTCAGGTCTGCACAGTGAATTTGGTTTGGCAGTAATCAATGCTGCAGGCGACGACAGTCTGACTGTGTACGAAGATCACGAGGAGCAGGGGTGGTGAGTGAGGGATCATACCGGAACACTGGATGTATATGAATATTTTGTACTTCAACAGTAATGAAATCTATCATATGTTAAAAAAAAAAAGCAAGGTTAAAAATGGGTGGAATTCCGTTATTTCTCAAGATTTTGAGTACTGGCAGGGTACTCTCTTCAAATTATGACAGGAATCCTGACTCAGCCCACCTGTGGATCCTCCTTTTCCCTGCAGTTTGGGAGACTTCAGTATTAAGCAGGAGCAGAGCTGAAGTTTCATATTACGTTTTCCAAGACATTTCTTTGCAGTTCAAGAACAGCTTCTCATTGAAGAAAATCTCATCCAACACTAGCTCTGCCTGCAGACATTCACACTGCTGCCTTACGAGTTGTAAAACTGTTCCTGTTTCTGACAGCAGAGTTTTTTCCTTAGGTATATATGGCTGTACATGCACATTCTTGCCTGCCGTTATGCGTGCTGCCAGCCAAATATTAATGCTTCTGGAAGGTCTGGTATTCAGCTGGTACTGACCTATCTTAGTTTGGAATAAAGAAGCCTAGCCTGACCCAACCCCACCCATTACTTTTCACTTTGTTAATTATTTATGCTGAAGTAAAGAAGGCCCCAAATCTGCTTCAATTGCTAGTGAACAGAATTACAAGGGCACTATATAAGCACCAGCTGGGCTTTTGAAAGTAACCTCAGAACACCAGGCACCTAGATCCATATGAAATTACATGGGACTTGGGGCTCTTACCCCCTCTAGGTTCCTTTGAAAATTCAAGCAATTATTTCCACTTGAAAGGTGAGGAGTCTTGTTTTGCTAAATTATTTTCAAAGGCCTCAGGAACACAACAGTGAAAAGGGGTATTTGGCGCAATTTTCAAAAACATCTGAGTGAGTTCTAACAGTCAAGTGCTTTGGAAAACCAGGTTGAGAGCCTACCTGTATCTCTAGGTGCCCAAATGCCTTCAATTTACATTGTGTGGCACTTTGAAAAATCTCCCATCGTGTTCTAATAGGTTTTTAATACAATCTTATTTGCATCATTTTAAAGTTTCTACTGGAAAGACACAAGTCAATGGGTGAACTAGCCCTGCATGTTTTTCGGGGTCTTCCCTTTCAGAATCAAACTCTGTATAAAGTTTTCCACTGAGTTCAGAATTCATTCCTGTAATTATCTGCAGATGCAAATTGTAATATCGTTAACATTTGGACAATCATTTTAGGCATAAAGTCCACTTGGAAAACTGGCAGAAGGTTTCCAAAGTTTCCCCAAATACGTTTAGGCACCAAACTCCCACTAAAACCGGTAGGCATCTAGGAGCAACTCTAGAAGGTCACTTACACCTATCTGGTACAGATTTCCTTGGGACTTCAGTGATAAACAACACTCTGTGGCCATCACTAAGGTAGAAAATTGAGCCTCCACCCCAATCAGATCAAGTATCTATTGTGGATTTAAAATTACTGGAGTCAAATTCTATGCTTACATAAACTGGTCTAACTCCACTGACTACTGCTGTTCCTTTATACTAGCACAGAATTTGACCTCAGAAATACTCTTCCTTTTCACACATGGAGACACTTCAAAAACAAATTCACATTGCAAAGAAGGAAACGCATATACTGAAGTCAACACAGCTCCATTTATTTCACTGTGTGCATACTTCGGTTTGTTGTTCATAACCTTTTTTGAGTTTAAGTTGACATAAGGACTAACCATCCTGCCTGCACTCCACTCCTGTTTTCAGTTCCCCTTCATCTTTCTCACCCAACCACTTCAAACCCCTGTTTGCATAAGTAACTTATTTGCATGACCTGACTATACAGAAGAGCTGCACTGGGAGGTTGGCCCAGGGAGAGAGAGTTAAGGATTGCATCAATCTGTTGATGAACCAGTAAAGTTGCTTCTTCCAGTTTTTCCAGATTCTATAGCAACAGAGTAATTTTTCACCTGCACAGGATAGAAAATAGCCTGAAGCATGGGCAGGACATCACTGAAGAAAAAATCCCAGGTTTCAGCTAAGGTATCCAGTAGTTTCTGCCCTGCAAAAACACAAAACAAACTAGTTACCATTTAGGTTGTAATCAGCTAACTACAAAGACTAAAACACGCAGGAAACAATATGGATCTGCTATTACAAACAAAGATGAATCAGGTAACAGCTACTATTAGCAGCACGGAATCAGTACTCCTTTCACTGCATTGGATCATTCAGCATTTGTGTCCTTTCAGATGACACATCTGATGTTCTTAGAAAACTCAGAGACCTTGAGGTTAAAGCTTACTCAGAAAAAACCCGTGAAGAACAAAGAATAACAGCTCAGATGATTACCTCCTCCTCTTCTTGCAGTAATACCTACTGGACAAGGCTGCAGAGGAGAGCAGTAGGAGGAGGACACATCAGGTTAAACATGGAAACATTCCTGCAGTGAAATTTCCCCCATGGTGTTCCCCTCTACCCTCTAAGCCATAAGCCAGCAGAGCAAACTGTGCGCAGAAAGCACTCCCCGGACCGATCCTTTAGCTTCCCTGTATCTCCACTTACACAGAAAATCTCCCCCAAGATCAACAGAAAACAGCACGGTGTTGTGGCTCTACTTTCTACTGTAACTCTCAAAGGATGCAGTCAAAACCTGCTACGACGCGAGTTCCCCGTGGTCCTCGAAGTGAGGCCACCTCCCTCTCTACTCCCTCCCCAGCTGCAGCCACCTGGAAGCCTCCACAGTGGAGATTGGAGAAGCTCTGGCCAGGTCCTACAACCAAGCCGGACACGGAGTTCCTCACAGGACATTCTGTAGAACAGAAGCATATGCAGGAGCCGAGAGCTACAGGAGAAGAGGTCTGGCTCGACAGCTGAATGCTGGCTTCAAAGCCCTGTTGCCCTGAATGGCCTGTGTGACCTTGGGCAGGCTCTTCAGCATCCCTGTGCCCCCACCCCAACTGTGAAATGAGGGCAATGCCACGGCACCTTCACCAGCAAGCAGTATGGAGATAAAATTGTCAATGAGCATGAGGCATTCGGGCAAGACAACGTGACTATCAGGAAGGCAATTCCACAGCAATCAGTCAGTGTTACCACTGGTGTCGGAATCAGATACTGCTCTTAATTTTGGTATTACAGCCTTACTTAGGGCCTCAGCTAGGGAACATACTGCACACACATCACAGCGTGTGAAAGCATCTACACTCCAGGGTACCCAAGTGCCAATCTTTATTATGGGATACTTGATCTCCCTGCGTTGTTAAGCACATGACAAATAGCACCAGCTCTGGCCCATCTGCAACTCCTGAATTATTCCTGGGTTGACAATTTTTAATATTTTCAGTGACAAAAGTAGATCACCATGCTACACTGCAGCTGCTGGCTCACGAACCACACCAAGGTCTTCGTTTCTGCATCACCAGGCAGAAGTTCTCTCCGTCCTGCACACTCACACACAAGACTAAAAAGGTTGTTCTCCATTTCAATTTTTCAAAAATCATCTTGCATTAGTTCTAGTGAAATACAGCAGGGAACCAGGTCCGAAATTTCCTAGCAGCTGTAGCAGTAATAATAAATACCAGTGTATTATAATCTCCATAGCTAGTGCCTGAAACATGAAGGTGTTTCAAAGATATAAACCCAACCATGAAGGAGAAGCCCAACCACTCTCTGCCTCGAGGGCAGAGTTCTAAAAAGAGGTCAATATGCCAGCTGCCCACAAATTGAGGTTAAGTGGAAACGAAGCCCTTACAAACTTGGCTCCAGATGTGGGTGCTAAACATTTGTCCTTTTCAAATTCTGCTGCTAGAATTGCATGAAGCCGAATTCCCGTGTTGAGATCAACATGACCGTCGCACACTCCTTTCATCTCGTGGGCAGCTTGGTTTGTGGAGTGATGGATTTCTGAACTGCAGCTCAGAAAGCTGCAGAGTTAACCGCCTTTGCCAGGCAAGCCTTTTACTGGGGGCTGTGGGAGAATTCCAGCGGTTTGCTGATGATGAACATCTTTCACATGGCGCAATGTGACTTTTGTGTCCCTTCCAGAATATGTTTGCTTTAGTGTCAACGATCCCTACGCGTTTACAGTAAGCATTAGTTGGATACAAGGAAGCTGGGTAACTCTAAATGCTCATTTAAATGAAGCACGATATAGTCACAGAATCACAGAACGGTCGGGGTTGGCAGGGCCCTCTGTGGGTCACCCAGCCCAACCCCCTGCCCAAGCAGGGTCACCCAGAGCAGG